TTTGTTGCCCTTGTGTGGGCAAGCGGTGGAGCTGGGGGGGCCCTTGACTTTGAAGGTGCCGGAAGAGGAGCTTGCGGGGGAGTAGGTGTAGGAGCACGAGGAGGAGTCGGTGCAGGATCCTGAGGAGGAGTCGATGCTGGAGCCTGCGGTGGAGACGGTGCTGGCGGAGCATGAGGAGGAGACGGTGCAGGATCCTGAGGAGGAGATGGCGGAGCCGGAGGAGATGGTGCACGAGACGCCGCTTGTCGCCCAGGGAGGATGATGTACCGCCTGCGCCATAGAATAATGGCATGGCATGTGTCTCGTAGATGCGTCTCACCGTCTCCTCCAGGGTAATCCAGCTCGAGGTCCTCGTACGCGCCTTCGACCAACTCAACTTCGACCTTGGAGTATCCTGCTAGAATCGGCCTGCAGTGGTAAGTACCTGAAGGGTCCGTTGGGATGGCCATGCCCGACGCCACCTTCATGTTGTGAGAGATTATTTGTTAGTAATCAACATATATAAGCAGCAACTAGCGGAATGGCTAAATCTTACCTTTATTGATAAGTTCTTGAAGGGAATATGCAGCTCACATGGTGTCCGCTGAGTGATGTCATCAACGGGACAGGTCGATTCGTCCTGTGTTTGCATGGCGTCCATGCTCTGTGATCCTACCTGCCCCGTTGAGGCGCAGCTGCTACGGTTTCCTGACGGGCTCACCATTGCAGGAGGAATGGTCGGCTGGGGATCATGGGACCGATGTGCGGCCATGCGTTCATCAACCTTCCTTGCCACCTCCTCTTGCATGTTGAGTTCGTAGCTCGATACCCGGAACTCTAGGTCTGCAATCTTCGCCTCGGTATCTCTCTTGCTCCTCATCCGACTCCTGTACGTGTGGATGTCCTCCTTGAAACCAATCTTCCAAGGAATCACCCCTTTCCCTCGAGTTCGTCCTGGATGCTCTGGAGTCTGCAGGGCGAGTGTCAGCTCGTCCCTATCTCTGTCTGGTCGGAACGTGCCCTGAGAGGAGGCTTCCACTGCATCTGTTAGTCGTCGCGCAGCCTCTTGTATCTGATAGCCGAAGACCAGTGAGCCATCAGCTGGGTTGAGCGTTCCACCGTGAGCATAGTACCAGAACTTCGATCGTTCCGGCCAATTGGCTGTTGCCGGTTCGATACCCCTCTCAATCAAGCTAGCCTCCATCTGCTCCCACTTCGGCATCGCGACGCTATAGCCTCCTGACCCCAAGTGGTGATGGTACTTCTTCTTGGCGGCATTTTCTTTGTTTCTTTCCATCATCGCCTGCCCTTGTTCACCTGTCTTATATGCAACGAACTCGTCCCAGTGATCCCTTAGCTTTGGGAATGTGTCGAAGTTCGGTGTCTGCCCCTTCAGTATATACTTCTGGTACAGATCTCCCTTGAAGCTCTGAAACTGTTCTGCCATTTTCTTCAGAGTCCACCTTTTCACTTTGTCCTCTGTACCCGCAGGAAGGGTGAATGTCTCGAGCATTGTGGTCCACAGCATCTCTTTCTCCGAATCTGGGACAAAGCTCTCATGATCTCCGCGTGCCCTTGTTCTTCGCCAGTACACCGTACTGACAGGCACGTTATCCCGCACAACCCAACCGCTGTGACGTACATAGTTCTTGGCGGCTTCGGCCGGGGCACTAGGACGTCCATCTTCTTCCACTTCCGTTATGATGTGCCGACCCTCAAGCTTCTTCGCTGCACCTCGTTGCCCGCGTGCCCTCTTCTGTCCAACGGAGGGTTGACTACCACTACCCTCTTCCTCCTGGTTCCCCTCCACATCCCTTTCCACGTGCCCCTGCTGGTTCCCCTCCGCATCCCTCTCCACGTTCCCTTCCTCGTTCAAGTACTGGTTTGGATCCTCGTTCCCCTCTTCTTCATTCCAGTACTGGCTGCTTCCCTCCGCGATTGTATCGTACAATATCTGTTCCTCATCGCGGTCAGCCATCTGTTGATACAAGAAACATCTGCTAAGTCACGAGACATTTATGTTTTAACAATCTAAGTCATGTATGCTAAGTGTAAATGTCGTACATTAGAACCCTACACAACCTTACGTGCTAAGTCTAATTACAAATCGTGATATAAGCTAAGTCTAGGTGACGTATATTATACAACCCTAGCTAGTAAATAATTATATACTAAATCTAATTACAAATAAAATAATCTTATATTAAAACTCAAATAATATTACATGCTAAGACTAAAATAGTCATGTACATGCTAAGTGTTTCGTGCGTATATGCTAAGTCACGAGACATTTATGTTTTAACAATCTAAGTCATGTATGCTAAGTGTAAATGTCGTACATTAGAACCCTACACAACCTTACGTGCTAAGTCTAATTACAAATCGTGATATAAGCTAAGTCTAGGTGACGTATATTATACAACCCTAGCTAGTAAATAATTATATACTAAATCTAATTACAAATAAAATAATCTTATATTAAAACTCAAATAATATTACATGCTAAGACTAAAATAGTCATGTATATGCTAAGTGTTTCGTGCGTATATGCTAAGTCACGAGACATTTATGTTTTAACAATCTAAGTCATGTATGCTAAGTGTAAATGTCGTACATTAGAACCCTACACAACCTTACGTGCTAAGTCTAATTACAAATCGTGATATAAGCTAAGTATAGGTGACGTATATTATACAACCCTAGCTAGTAAATAATTATATACTAAATCTAATTACAAATAAAATAATCTTATATTAAAACTCAAATAATATTACATGCTAAGACTAAAATAGTCATGTATATGCTAAGTGTTTCGTGCGTATATGCTAAGTCTAATTAAGACTACAATAGTCAATTGCTACTTGTCGCACCAATTCCGTAGTCAATAATTACATACCAAGTCTAATTACAAATAAAGTAATATTATATTAAAACTCAAATAATATTACATGCTAAGACTAAAATAGTAATGTATGCTAAGTGTTTCGTGCGTATATGCTAAGTCTAATTAAGACTACAATAGTCAATTGCTAGGAGTCGCACCAATTCCGTAGTCAATAATGTCATACTAAGTCTAATTTGCAATAAAATAATCTTATATTAAAACTCAAATAATATTAGAACACTACACAACCTTATATGATAAGTCTAATTACAGGTCTAATAATCTTAATTAATTGCATTACAAATATAACAATCATTTATATTATTACGTCACTTGCCTGCTCCAATTCCTTCTAGGGCTAGCTCTTCCACTCAGGCTTGACGGACGACTCCGACAACACGTCTTTTCTGCAAGATACAAAAAAATGTATTAGGATAAATGCGAAGTAACATATATACATATATATACATATATATACATATATATATACATATATATATATATATATACATATATATATATTGCATTTCACGTTAACGTTCGTCCTCGTTCGTTCGCTCGTTCACGTTCCCTAGCTCGTTCACGTTCGTTCGCTCGTTCTCATTCACGTTCGTTCCCTCGTTCTCGCTTGTCTTCGTTCGATCGTTCTCGTTCTCGCTCTCGTTCGTTCGATCGTTCTCGTTCTCGTTCACGTTGTCGCGGCAACGTACGTTGACGTGTTCGTTCTCGCTCTCGTTCGTTCGATCGTTCTCGTTCTCGTTCGTTAACAGCGGTGTGGCGGCATCGGGGCGGCGGTTGGCGCGGCGGCGTGGCGACGGCGGCGGCGGCGTGGCGTTGTGGGGCCGTGGCGGCGGCGGCGTGGCGTGGCGGCGGTGGCGTGGCGTGGCGTGGCGGCGGCGGCGTGGCGTGGCGGCGGCGGCATTGCGCGCGCGGCGGTGAAGGCGGCGGCGGCGTGGCGACGGCGGCGGCGGCGTGGCGTTGGCATGCGGCGGCGGCGTTGCGCGGCGTCGAAGGCGGCGGCGTGGCGCGTCGTCGTCGTGGCGCGGCGTCTCGTGGCGGGCGGCGCGACGGAGAGAGATCGAGATCGGAGAGATCGAGATGCATGAAGGGAGATCTGGCGGCGGCGGCTCTCACCCCAGAGATGCGGCGGCAGCGGAGGAGGCGGCGAGGACGACGAGCTCGAGACGACGGCGAGATACGGCGGCGTCGGCGCGGGGATTTGCCCTAGGCAGTGGCGGCGAAGGAGAGAGGCCGAGAGAGATCGATCGGCCGAAAACGTCTAAGTGTTGGTGAAGAAGACGAGGGCGCACCGGGAATATATATACCCCCGGATCTTTAGTCCCGGTTGTTGAGAACAACCGGGAGTAAATATCTTTTCCCGCTATTTCGAAATTCTTTTTAAACCCGGTTAGGGTTAAGAACCGGGACTAAAGTGGCTCTATTGGGAAAAAGTGGCTCTATTCCAGCCACTGCCCCTTCACGCCAGCCATCCCTATCCATTTCCTCGCCTCATCTCTTCCTCGCGTCGTCTCTCTCTCGCTCCTCACAACCCCGCGCCCTCGCCGCCGCCCTGCGTTAGCCCCCACCGCAGCTACGCGCTAGCTAGTCCTCTGCCCGCCGCTTGGTTCGCCGGTGTCGTGCAAGCCGACGCCGCTCGCGCAAGCCTCACGAATCGCGCATCAGCAATGGCGGGTGGAAATCCTCACGATTTCTTCTCCAGTCGTTCAATGAAGCTCCAACGGGCCACATGGACGGCTCCGACTACGGCTTCTCGCAGGGGTCTTCAGGATATGGTGGATCTGGCACCGGCATCCATTTTGGGGGAGGGGGATCGGGGGGCCTCGATCTGAACTCCCAGGCCGACGCCTTCCCCGATTTCGCCTCCTACCAACAGATCCTTGAACCGGGTAGCCTTGTGTTACCTCCGATTCGGGCAGGGAGCAGATCCACAGTCCCCCCGTCACGTCCTCCTCCAGCGGCGGGAGGGGGACGTGGCAGAAGTCGTGGAGGGAGAGGAGGAGGACGAGGCCGTGGCATGTCGTTGACCAATGGCGCTGGATCTGGCAGGGGAATGCGAGGATTTGTTCCTCCTGGCTCATCGTCTGGCCAAGGAGGCGTCCGAGGTCATGGGGCATCCATGTCGCACAGCGGGCCACCCGCCTTCAACTTTGGAGTCTTCGGAGGAGGACGGCGAGCCGGTGCCTCGTCGTCCCAAGGGACAAATGTGTCCGAGGACGACGGCAACGAAGAAGACGAAGAGGACTTTGGTCCTGATGGTCAGCACATGGTAAACCCCCCATGGTTACTTTCTGTTATGTTTGATTTGTGCTATTGCGAAATATGCCAATTGTTGCTCATGATATTGATACTGCTATGCATGCCGTGATCTAAGCATGTATATGTTGTTTTACAGTATATGTTGTTCATTGGTTAATTTAGGGTTAAATCATGTTTTTCTTTCCTAGAATACGTATGACAAGGCAAATTGGACAGAAGAAAAAACTTACACATTGTGTGAAATAGCATGTGAGGAAATAAGGGATGGGCATTGTCCTAATGGAGCATGGACAACTAGAGGGTACCAGAATTTGAAGGCCAAATATTTCCAAAGGGCTAACCTAAGGCATTCAACCAAACAGATAAAGAATAGATTCACCCATCTAAAGAATTATTACATTGCTTGGGTGTGGCTGAACCAACAAACTGGAGCTGGTAGAAGTGCTAGTGGAGAAATAATTGCATCAAATGCTTGGTGGGAAAAAAAAATTAAGGTATGCAGTTGTCAAAAATTTAGCTAGTTTACATGATTTTAGAGTTTTCTGTGATATTGATTTAGTGTCAATACAGGAGAAGGGGGACGCCAAGAAATTTCGCCATGGCAACCCTGAGTACTTAGATTTTCTTATAGAGATATTTCAAGGAGTTGCAGTTGATGGTTCCACAGCATACATCCCTGGTTTTGAAGATGAAGATGAAGAGGAAGGAGAAGAAGAAGCAGGGGATGCAGGGGAGGCAGCTAGAGGGGAAAGAGCTGTAGGGGATGGTTATGAGAACAGCCCCATGAGCACTAACAGCAGGAAGAGAGGGAGTAGCAGCTGTGATGTGTCCACAGCTTCTAGTCCTGGGAAAAAAAGCAAGAGCCCAGTGGTGAAGCTCATGCAGGGGCTGCTCAATTCTTTCAACTCTGATTGTGATAAGTCAAATACCCTAATTACTGAACTTGTTAACAGCAAGAAGTTAAAGGAGCAGAAGAAAGAAGAAATTGCTGAGTCATTGACAAACTGTCAGAGGTTGGCAGTAGAGTGTGGTGCAACAGAAGACAGTGTGGAATACTTTTGTGCCACACAGTTGTTTGCTTCCAAACATAACAGAGTTATGTTTAAGAACATTAGCACTAAAGAAGCAAGATTTATGTGGCTGAGGAGATGGTGCCAGCAGAAGAATTTGTATTAGATGATCCCTTTCTTTAGCTGCATATCATGGGTCTGGTCTGCATTAGTTGTGTCTTAGCTGCATTAGTTATGATCTACTTTTGTGTTGAACTATCAACTTGTTTGATGTGATGTGACGTAATGAACATGTGATGTGTGGACCTATTTAAACCTTCCCTTCTTTTCTTCTTGAAGTTTGTTCATATTATATTTATGATGTGCTTTCTTTCTATGCATATGTCACTCCTGCAGGATGGTGAAGGCAGTGGTGATGAAGATATCTCTGATGAAGATAGCAGTGATGATGAAATTGATCTTATCATTTATATTTTGAAGAAAAGAGAAATGGACAGGAGAAGAGCATGTATGCTTGCCGCCATGATTGGTACGTATTACTTGGAACTTTACTCTAATAAGGCTCCAAGAAGGGTAGCACCTGAGTCTGGACATGATTGGGTTATGAGAACATTAGCTAATAGAACTGTTTGTTACAACATGTTTAGGATGCACAGGCCAGTTTTTGAGAGGTTACATTCTGTGCTTGTGGAATCATATGAGTTGAAGTCCACAAACAACATGGATTCCATGGAGTGTTTGGGTCTTTTTTTATGGATAGTAGGTGCTCCCCAATCAGTTAGGCAAGCCCAAGACAGATTTGTTAGGTCTCTTAAAACAGTACATAGTAAGTTCAAAGCAGTTTTGACCGCTCTACTGAAACTTGCACAAGATATCATTAGGCCAAAAGATCCCTTATTCACAACAGTCCATAAGAAATTGCTTTCTCCTCAGTACACACCATATTTGGATAATTGCATTGGAGCAATAGATGGTACTCACATCCAAGTTGTGGTGCCAAATTCAGCTGCTGTTCAACATAGGAATAGACATGAGGAGAAGAGTCAGAATGTTATGTGTGTCTGTGACTTCGATATGAGATTTACTTTCGTGCTTGCTGGGTGGCCTGGTTCGGTTCATGACATGAGGGTATTCAATGATGCACAAACTAGATTTAGTGCCAAGTTTCCAAAGCTACCTCTAGGAAAGTTTTATCTCGTAGACTCGGGATACCCAAATAGGCCGGGTTATTTAGCACCATACAAGGGTATAACATATCATTTCCAAGAGTACAACGAAAGCACATTGCCAAGGGGAAGAAGGGAGCACTTTAATTACTGCCATTCTTCGTGTCGGAATGTCATTGAGAGGTCATTTGGGGTCTTGAAGAACAAGTGGAGGATTTTGTTTAGTTTACCAAGCTACTCGCAGGAAAAGCAAAGCAGAATTATCCATGCATGAGCACTTCATAATTTCATTAGAGACAGTTAAATGGCTGATACAGAGTTCGACAATTGTGACCATGATGAAAATTATGATCCATTGGGTGGAACCTCTTCTCCATCTAGCGAACCAACAAACGAATTGGACTCGCGTGTCATGAACCAATTTCGGGACTGGATTGCCGATGGATTGTGGTATTTGAAAGGAATGTAATGAATGGTTCAATTTTTCTTGTGAATTGTATTTGGTTTAACTTGTCAATTGAACCATGAGTGCTTGTAATTTGTAACATTGAAACTTCTGTGATGTATTTCAACAACTTGAGATGTATATGAGCTTCTTTGAATTTCTGTGATTGGGCTGTGATATTGATGATGAAATTGAGCGTCTCGTGGCGGGCGGCGTCTCGTGGCGGCGAAGGGGAGAGGCCGAGAGAGATCGATCGGCCGAAAACGTCTAAGTGTTGGTGAAGAAGACGAGGGCGCACCGGGAATATATATACCCCCGGATCTTTACTCCCGGTTGTTCTCAACAACCGGGACTAAGGATTATAGCACTGCATATGATTTTCGCTTACATATGTGTTTATAAAATAGAAGTTAATGCATTAACATTATTTAAAGTACAAAGATTAATGACAATTACTTCGAAAAATTATTTTTGTCTGTAATAAATTAAGTGGATAAATCGTAATAAGCAAATATATGACTTATAATTAATAAAAATTCCAATATATATATATACTTAGCATATATATGAATGATATTATTATATTGGTAAAAACTCTAGTCAATTATAATTAGCATATGAATGCTAGTAAATTAAATGTTAAAAACTCTAATTAACATACATATGAAATTGCCACCTGTGTGATTTAAAACTTTTAAAAATTGTAAGTATCACATATAACTAGCATATACATGATGGATAATCAATACATCCAAAATAGTTTACATCGTGTACACAATAATTACGGCATTACATCGGCGGTGACGGTTGACCGCACGTACTTTCTCCTCACTATTGTTCCCTCCTTGTGATCGCTGCGTGAGTAAGGGGTGTCTTCATTTGATAGGAGGATGCTAGGGTCAATCGTCACCGTGAAAGGGGGTTGCCCATCCAACTGATCGTAATCCTCGTCAGTCTTGTCCTCAACTCCGACGATTTTTCTTTTGCCTGGGAGAACCACTTGACGCTTAGGCTCATCAGGCCCTCTGCCCTTCTTTCCTTTGCTAGACATGTCCTTCACGAAAAAGACTTGCGTTACATCATTGGCAAGGACAAAAGGTTCGTCCGAGTATCCAACCTTGTTAAGGTCAACAGTTGTCATCCCACTGTCATCAATCATTACGCCTCCACCAGTCAACCTAACCCATTGGCACCGGAACAGAGGAACCTTGAGAGGACCATAGTCAAGTTCCCATATGTCCTCGATGGCACCGTAATACGTGGCAGTTGTTCCATCGTGTCCCATGGCATCGACACGAACAGCGCTGTTTTGGTTCGTGCTCTTCATGTCTTGGGCTCTCGTGTAGAATGTGTACCCATTGATCTCATATCCCTGGAATGTCGCGATCGACCCAGACGGTCCCCTCGCCAGGAAGGCAAGTTGTTGGTTGATCGACTCGTTACCCATGAGATGTTGTCGTAGCCACGCGGGGAAAGTATCAATGTGATGCCGTGTAATCCATGCATCGGACTTACCGATGTTCCTGGCGCGAACTAGAGCCAAGTGCTCCTCGATGTAAGGAGCTACCAATGAAGAGTGTTGCAGAACAGTGAAATTGGCTTTACGGAATAAATTGTTGTCTACCGTCATTATTGCTTTCCTTCCGAGAGTTCCCTTTCCCCGTAGTCTCCCTTCATGGCGTGATTCAGGTACCCCGATTGGGCGAAGGTCTTCGATAAATTCTACGCAAAATTCGATGACCTCCTCTGTTCCATAACCCTTGGCGATGCTTGCCTCTGGACGAGCACGGTTACGAACATACTTCTTCAGAACGCCCATGTACCTCTCGAAAGGAAACATGTTGTGTAGGTACATAGGCCCGAGAATACGGATCTCTTTCACAAGGTGACAAAGCAGATGCGTCATTATATTGAAAAATGAAGGTGGAAATATCAACTCAAAACTGACGAGACATTGCACCACTTTATTCTGAAGGGTTTCTAATCTATCCGGATCGATGACCTTCTGCGAAATTGCGTTCATGAATGCACATAGCTTTGTTATTGTTGCCCGGACATTGTCTGGAAGGATACCCCTTATTACAACTGGTAGCAGTTGTGTCATCAACACGTGACAGTCATGAGACTTTAGGTTTGTGAACTTCTTCTCCTTCGTGCTTATTATTCGCTTGATATTCGTGGAGTATCCAGACGGTACCTTTATGCTCTCCAAGCATTCAAACATACTTTCCTTCTCTGCCTTGCTAAGAGTGTAGCTGGCTGGACTCAAGTAATTGCTTCCTTTCTCCTTTGGTTCCGGGTGAAGGTCGCCGCGTTGTTCCATATGCTTCAGATCATTACGTGCTTCCAGTGTATCTTTCGACTTTCCGTATACACCTAGGAAGCCAAGAAGGTTTACGCAAAGGTTTTTAGTGAGGTGCATCACGTCGATTGCGTGGCGTACGTCCAAGAATTCCCAATATGGTAACTCCCAAAATATAGAGTTCTTTTTCCACATCGCCGCGTGACCATCTTCGCTCTCTATATGCTGGCTTCCAGGCCCCTTTCCGAACACTACTTTAAGATCTTTAACCATAGCAAACACTGTTTTCCCGCTGCGATGTTTAGGCTTCGTACGGTGGTCGGCCTTATGTTCGAAGTGCTTGCCTTTCTTCCGTACCGGGTGGTTTGCTGCAAGGAATCGACGATGACCCATGTATACAACCTTCCTACAGTGCTTAAGATACGTACTTTCTGTTTCATCCATACAGTGAGTGCAAGCCTTGTACCCCTTGTTGGACTGTCCGGATAGGTTGCTAAGTGCAGGCCAATCGTTGATGGTTACGAACAGCAGCACTCGTAGGTTAAACTCCTCCTGTTTGTCCTCGTCCGACACGGGGACACCTTCCTTCTTCCACAACTGTTTAAGATCTTCGACCAGTGGTCTTAGGTACACGTCGATGTCGTTACCAGGTTGCTTGGGGCCTTGAATAATAATCGGCATCATTATGTACTTCCTCTTCATGCATAGCCAGGGGGGGAGGTTGTAGATACACATCGTAACGGGCCAAGTGCTATGGCCGCTGCTCATCTCTCCAAAAGGATTCATGCCATCCGTACTCAAACCAAACCGTATGTTTCGTGCATCCTTTCCAAATTCTTTAAATTTTCTGTCGATGTTTCGCCACTGCGAACCATCGGCGGGGTGTCTCAGCATCCCGTCCTGTTGACGCTCTTCAGCGTGCCATCGCAACATTCTAGCATTCTCCTTGTTCCTGAACAAACGCCTTAGCCGTGGTATTATAGGGAAATACCACATCACCTTAGCAGGAATTCTCTTCTTTGTTAGCTGCCCGTCAACTTCTCCTGGATCGTCCCGTCTAATCTTGTATCGTAGTGCTTTGCAAACAGGGCATGCTTCTAGGTTCTCATACTCCTCACCGCGATATAGGATACAATCGTTCGGACATGCGTGAATCTTATGAACTTCCAGTCCTAACGGGCAGACTATCTTCTTAGCCTCGTACGTTGTCTCGGGCAATTTGTTTCCCCCCCGGAAGAATGTTCTTGACGAGTTTCAATAAATCGCCAAATGCCTTGTCACTAACCCCATTTTTTGCCTTCCATTGCAACAACTCCAGAGTGGTATCCAACTTTTTGTGCCCCTACTCGCAACCTGGGTACAACGAAGTTCTGTGGTCCTCCAACATCTTGTCCAATTTATGGGCCTCCTTTTCACTTTCGCAGTCCTCCCTGGCGTCCTGCAACATCTGACCAAGATCATCCGCAACGTCGTTACCATCAGCAGCTATTTCCTCCTCGCCCATTTGATTTCCTTCAAATCCAACATACTGAGCAAAGTCCGGAATATTGTCGTCTTCCACTTCATCTTCTTCCATTTCAACACCTTGCTCTCCGTGGGATGTCCAACAATTATAGCTTGGCATGAACCCCGACTCAAACAAGTGGAAATGAATAGTCCTGGATGCAGAATACTCCTTCTGATTCTTACACTTATTGCATGGACAACAAATAAAACCCCTTTGCCTGTTAGCTTCGGCCACTCTCAAAAAATAGTGCACGCCGTCAATAAACTCTTTGGACCGCCGGTCAGCGTACATCCATTGCCGATCCATCTACATGAGTCAAATAAACCGCACACAAATAATTATTCTTACAATAATGACAGTCATACAATAATTATAAGATATCTTTATTCATACAAAAATCATAAAATATTACACCAAATAATTCTTAAAAACTATTTGTAAAGTTTTAAACTAATTTTAATGTGTTTTACTTCTTTTAATTTTCATTTTAGTTTGTTTTCTATTATTTAAGATTAACTTTCACTAGAGTTTTCCATCTCAACTATTTTATAAAACCTTGTTTAGCAAATGAACTAAATTTCTATATATTCTTTCTTCCCCACACACATTTTCTCTCTCATCAACTTACAACTAAATTTTGGAGACAAAAAAAAGTGTGCAAAACATAGGTGCAAATGTAGTATGACAAAAAAAACATTGGAGGATGAAGTTGCAAACCTTTTAGGCACCTCCGATTTGTATATAATCACCAAAATAAATTCAATAGAAATTTTGGCATGACCTCCCCTCTTTTTTGAAGTAATTTTGAAGCTTGCTCGGGCAGCTGGAGGAGGAAGAAGACATATATATATATAGGGGTGGGACTTTAGTCCCGGTTGGTAGCACCAACCGGGACTAAAGATCCCGGGGGGGCCTGACAGGTCCTGACAGCATTCGAACCGGGACTAAAGATGATGTTTAGTCCCGGTTGGTAACACAAACCGGGACTAAAGATCAAATATGCCCGTTTCCCTTTTGAACCGGGACTAAAGATCATCTTTACCCCGGTTTTTATTGCATCCGGGACTATTGTGGAAATCGGCCGACCGACGAAAGATGGTTTCTCCACCAGTGAGAATTCCTCCCCTCCTCATGTCGTACGTACATGTGCATGTCTCCCGAAAGAAAAATCAGGATATATCTACTCTATATTCATTGATGCATATGTAAATATGTATAACAAATTACGTTAATATGAACCAATTAAAAGGAGGGCTAGCTTGATGGTACATTATTAACAATAATAATTTTTCGAGATTTATTAAAAAAATTGCCCCAAAACATTCAATTAAAAAAGAAAAACACATTACCTTTTAATTTGAACTTAATTTGTTACACATGTTTTCTAAACGAACTAAGTCTATCTCCATTTTAAATGGTGAAGAAGAAAATGATAATTACGTATACTGATGCATTAAATATTACATAGTAGAAAGGTAACAGATACCTAACAAAATTTATTTAAGCAAAGTCGGCAGATAAATTTATGAAGAAAACATATTTCTGAAGTTTGGCAAGTATGGTTGACATTCATTCCTGGTAAGTTTTTCAAATATAGCCTACGATATACATGCCCGCACAAATGTGCGGGCTACCATCCTAGTTATATATAAAAGTAGAAGGACCATTATCTTAGAATTTCGATGTGGAAATGAAGAATATAAAACTGGGAAATAAATATATATAGTAATTGAACAGCTTATTTGGCATAGCTCTAGATCTCACATTCACGGTACACTTTTAGTTTGTATGTTAAAATATTTAGGTTTGAAATTTTAAATTTTTATTAATTAAAATGAGAATAAATTGATTATCCAAATATTATCAAAATAATCGTAGATCTGGATTTATAAATTAGATTTATAGAATTAGAAATAACCAAGTTAAGAAAATCTTGAATGCAGAGCTGTGCCAAAACTAACCTAATTGTGACGGAAAAAAGACACCCGCCTTTGTAACAGAATTGGTGTACATATGTGGGAGTATTAATTCAACGTACATCATCAACAAGGTGTGTAGCGATGACGCCTGGCGCGATGCAGTTCACACGCATCCTGTCGCTCGCCCATTCAACAGCTAGGCTCTTGGTAATTTAATTTGATTCATCGCTCCTGAGATTAGTAAGGGTATTATCTTGCGATTAATTCTAACTAACATTAGTGGAGAATCGATCTTTACTCGATCGACCAAAATCGGTACTAAAACCTTTATAACCAGACAATAAGACCAATGTACTAATTAAGTACAAACCAAAATCACAAACGAGAATAATTATTTTCTAATTACACTCAAGGAATTTATGAATGGCAAAATATCCAGTGCACACAAATTTCTCGTGCTGCCTCTAACTAACAAAATTGACCAAAAGACGTCATAACAAGCCATATCTTCGTATGTCTACTACTGTGTCTTAATTAATTAGTTATATCGAACCTATTTGTATTTACTGAGCTTTTTTGTATAATATATATAGTCAATTTTATTTGTTGTTTTTTTATTGTTTGTATGGGTCTGGATATGTCTAGTGTAATTCTGTATAAGCCAAAATATAGTTAATATGGTTAACTTGTTAATTTAATCAACAATGAATACATATATCATGGTAAAATCTAAACCGAGAAGCCTCTCGGTTTAGTGCTAACCAGCGACGATCCAATTGTGAGAAGAATTACTGCTACACGTGCTGATGTGCGTGTTGTTTTTCCTCTTAGACATGTGTGTCTTTTTCTTCCTTCTTATAAAGTTTTCTCTTAAATTACTTATCCGATTTACAATCCAATTACACCATTGTGTTCGTTACAATTAAATCTTCACAACAAGATCTTACATGATTATATTACGATGAAAAAATATTTATATTTGTAAATTACTTTTATTATATACTAAGTTACTTTTATAATATATATAAGTTACTTTTAGATTTGACTAAATTACTTATATACATTTATAATGCTCTAAGTTAATTATTCTTATTATTGTTTTTAGTTAATTCTATATTTTGTGGACTTTATAAATCTTCTCTACACTTTACTTGCAAATTCACTCTACATAGTTTCTTATTTCAGCTCACTCACAATATAATTATTTCTACTACAGAGAGTTACTCCCCCCGTTTCATAATGTAAGTCATTTTAGTGTTGCCCACATTTATATAGATGTTAATGAATCTAGATATAGTTCTAAATTAAAGTTACTTTCTTTTTGTTATAAGTTACTTCTATAATATATGTAAATTAGTTTTAAGCTTTACTGAATTTACTTTTATATGTCTAAGAAGTAACTTAGTGAAATCTAAAAGTAATTTAGACATATCATAAAAGTAATTTGTGATTCTTCATGAAAATATAATCATGTGAGATCTTGTTGTAAAGATTTAATTGTTACGAACACAACGGTGTAATCGGATTATAAATCGGATGAGTAATTTAAGAGAAACTTCTCTAAGAGGAAAAAAAATACATAAATATTGAGTGAACTAGTAGCTTTTTTTTTTTTGGAAAGAATGGTGTCTCTTTTTAGCACTATCCAGCTAGCACTCTCGGTGTAGTTGTGTCCATATATCATTTAGAAGGTATAATAGTTTTGAAAATATGTTAGGCAATAATGGTTACATTTCAGAATCTAAACAGCATCAGCTAAACAAAAGGAAGGAAAGAGCTTATAGTAGAAGAGAGAAGTAGAGTGACTATACGTAATAGGGAAACGTAACTATACGTAAGTACGTCAAGTATGTGCAAGGAAATGAGACTGGTACATACGTTAGGTAGGTGGGATGGGAGGTGGTGCTGTGGGTTTTGTTTTTTCCATTGCAAGATTAATCCTATGGCCTACAATTGCAGATGTTCTATTTTATTTTTTCAAAATTTCTCGAATTTATCTAATCTATTAGATCGCCAGATGACGACCTATGAGCATCTGTAAGATGTTTAATCTATTTTGCTATAGATAGAAGATGACGGGAGCTGATGCTTTATCCTCCCTTGCACACGCACTTCTAATATTACCAGAGTTTCAACTTCCTTGAAAAAAATAAAAAAAAAATCTAAACTATTAATTGGTGCGCACAGTGAATACGTTCTAAATTTTGTGCTCTTTTTAGTTACCTTTTGCTGCACAGAAAGCACAAATGGGAAGAGATGGGAACCCGGTAACAGTTGATATGCCGGAGATGTTGACGACGTTGCCCTTGCCGGAGGTCTTGAGGAGAGGGTGCATCAGCTGGCTTAGGTGGAAGCATGACTCTAGGTTGCCCGCCATCACTCTGGAGAGCTCCTCCGGCGTCACGTTCACGGCTGGTTTTAGGAAGAGGAAGCCAACATTGTTCACCTGCAGGTAAGTTAACAAATTATAAGTCATCTAATAACCATTTTCTGTATCTCTACCCAACTTCTACACCTCTTTATAGCATTGAGAGAAATAGATTAAGAAAATGTTCAAGAGATGGATCTGCAACCAAGAACCAAGTGTACTAGCTCCTTGTCGCGATCTGGCAGACACGCCGCCACAAGCTAGCACATGCACACATGTGAAGGTTCTTGCATTTTGTAAGGGAAAAAAATGGAGATCAAGGCTAGGTCGTCAGTTTGTCGTGGTTTGGTGTATGCGTACAAGGATGTCGAGCTTGCCGTCGAACATGGCGGTGACCCTGCCGGCGAGCGCCTCCCTGTCGGCGCGGGCTGACACGTCGCAGACGGAGGAGGTGATGGAGAGCTTCTTGGCGCTCCACTCCTCCAGGCAGCTGTTCAGGGTAGCCTCGTTCCGGGCGCACGTGTGCACCGTCGCGCCGAAGCTCGCCAACTCCTCCACGATGGCTCGCCTGGATGATGCATATATAAATGCTTAATTTCTGCCACTAAGCTAGTAGTAATGTGCCGAAGCAACGATATGATCAAACTGACGATGAACAGACAGGAGGTCAGAAATTAAGGCACACAAGCTAGTACTGATTCTTTTTTTTTTGAGGGAAACTACGGCGGGTGTTTAACACCAGCCTGAAGCTAGTACTGATTCTAGAGAGGCTATATAGTCTATTGGTGCCGATTTCGGTGCGATTAGAACTAATGACCGGATAGACACTAATCAGAAAAGTCATTGGTGTTGTTTCTAGCTAGGGTAGCGCTGGTAGCCTCATAGACGTCCATGCTAGGCCAGAACATGGTGATGACCGGGTTGCGCATATAATTAAGAACGTAATCTAAAGAGCTTGAATTGGTTGGAGAGCTAGCTGTATTTGGGATTTTGGGATGAGGTCCTCGAGCGCCTTAATTTGTTTCCTCTTCTCAAACAGATGTGAAAACTACGTGGACCTTGGATTCGATGAAGGGATGAATATTATTTAGTTACCCGATTCCTTTGCTGCCGCCGGTGACGAGAGCTGTGGCGCCGGCGAGGCTCCACCGCCCGGTCTCCTGCGCGCTGCTGCTGGATGCCATCATCTCTTGGGGTTGGTGTGTGAGGGAGACAATAGAGTGGAGTACTTGAGTACTACTTGTATGGGCATAAAGCGTTTGACGCCATATATCTGCACAATATTTTGGGTGCTTGTTTAGCCGCAAGCCCGCAAGGCCCGCAACCGCTTGCCAAGCCCCCTTCCTTGTGTCCACCTCATGTCTCTTCTCGTCATCTCTATCTCTTCTTGTCATCTAATTAGACTCGTTTAGCAAGGACATACTTTCTATTATTTATACAAGGATTTCCAAAAAAAAAAGTCTTATCTCATCGTATCCACGGTAGAGACGTAGATTACCTTCTAATTGTAAAATGACTAGAAAAAAAATAAATGTGCGTTATAATAGGTGAAGATATTTTTCACGATTGATAAAAACTTTGCCAATAGAAACGCTAAACTGAAATAAGACAAACAAAACAATGGGAAAAAAAGTTAGAAATCACATATAACATTGTACCCGGTTGCGAAGTGAGCATAGCTCAACTGGTTAGGTTCCTTGTGGTGGAACCAGCCCACCCGGGTTCAAATCCTAGATTTGACACGGGTGCTCGCATTTACGGCTAATTATTCTTTCAGTGGTAGGCGATGTACCCGTCGACAGCGAGGCGCCTGTGGTGACTTCGTCAATCTCAAAATATGCCGACCCAGTCTTCCGGAGGTGCTCATAGTGATAGGGTGTGCGTGTGTGCGTTCATAGGGGTGAGTGTGCTCGAGGCGCCTGTGGTGACTTCGTCAATCTCAAGATATGCCGGCCCAGTCTTCCGGAGGTGCTCATAGTGATAGGGTGTGCGTGTGTGCGTTCATAGGGGTGAGTGTGCTGCCGGCCCAGTCTTCCGGAGGTGCTCATAGGGGTAGGGTGTGCGTGTGTGCCTTCATAGGGGTGAGCGTGCGCACGTTGTGAGCGCCTGTGTTTGATAGGGTGTGCGTGTGTGCGTTCATAGGGGTGAGTGTGCTCGAGGCGCCTGTGGTGACTTCGTCAATCTCAAGATATGCCGGCCCAGTCTTCCGGAGGTGCTCATAGTGATAGGGTGTGCGTGTGTGCGTTCATAGGGGTGAGTGTGCTGCCGGCCCAGTCTTCCGGAGGTGCTCATAGGGGTAGGGTGTGCGTGTGTGCCTTCATAGGGGTGAGCGTGCGCACGTTGTGAGCGCCTGTGTTTGTACTGTGTTTCTCAAAAAAACATTGTACCCGGTTGCACTCGCTTCATGCGTCATCCCACACGAATAATCTCTTATATACACCATTCCATAGCCTCATAAATCGATCGGGTGGCTATGCCATAGGTTAATGCATATGGATTTTGCTATACCTCACCGACTAATGATTGAACTTTTTAATTATTCAATTAGTGAAAGGTTTTTTTACCATAGATAGAAAACTTCTACATGGTAACAAACTTGCCGCATATCAATTGTAATTTCAAAAGGAAAATATTTATGAGAGAAATTTGGAAAAATAAAAGAAAAGGAAAGGAGAGGGAAAGTGAGGTAATTGGAAGGAGAGGGAGAGGATTAGGATGATCGGAAGAAAAGGAATGAACAAAAAGAAAACAGATCGCGCAACACCGAGTGGAGGTGCATAGGATGGGGAGGCAGGATGGTGTGGGCCGGTTGGGATTGGGTTTGGAGATGGAGGGGCCGGGCTGGAATGCTGGAAGTGAGTGTATATTAGTTATTTTAGGCTTATGGTGAATTGGATATAGGCGACGTAGACTTATGGTGAATTGGATATTGGCGACGTACAACTAACTCAAAGACAGATGACGTACTAAAATTTTCGTGTAAATATCTTTTAATTTTTATAATAGTAGAGAAAAGGAAAAAAATATATGTCATTAAGTTAGACCACAAAATTTGATATACAAATGGCGTCTCCCAGTTCAAACAGAAATCACTTTGTCCCGCTTAATTACATGTAAACTCTCATAACACAACTACTTATTATCATTGTCTGGCAATGATGGGTCCATTTTTAATTGATGAAATTGTATATGTACCACAAAAATGATCCCGTTTCAAAGTCGAACTACCATTTTAAGCCCGCTTTTTCAAGTTTGCTCATTGGACCATTCTTTTTAAAAATGAAGGTTGGGCCTGACCTATTACGTGAAAGTAACCTAATGGTGTTAACTCACTAAGAAAAGATGTTCATACCCTTTGCCATTTGACCCTACTTTCCCAATTTTTTTATTCAATCCAACTTTTTTGCACCGCCATCTGAGAGCTCAAAAAAGTGATTAGGCTTTACATGATTACTGTCAATCAAATGTTAACAGAAAGACATAAATCTCACCTCTGGGTGCCACTGTGTGTCACACACAACTTGCTTAAGGTGTGGCTGCGTGATTTGTTGCCAACAATGTATCCTGAAAATAATGGCTACTTGAAACAAATATTGAACTTGCACTTTAGCATAGGTAGACTTCACTACCTGAATAGGTCAGCCTCGTTCCCATTTCTCTGGTCCTTCACGTTTTTTTGCTAGTACCATTCCTGATGTACGTGAGAGTGTCCCGATCTTTCGATGAGAGGATAAGTCGTTGGATGGAGCAACGTTGGTAATCCAACTATAACTATCCAGGGACGTTGCGCCTTAGCAATCGTTACACCAACTGTAGAGGTAGTCGTGAATGTCAACGGATGCACGGTCAGCCTAACCACGAGGATATTTGTTCCTGCAAGCAATCGAGAACTAGCAATTACAAGATGAACAGGCAACTCAATTTGCGGAATAAAGTTTTAAGATTGAATCAACAAAAGTATCACAGGTGGGGTTTCGTAATGAGCAAACCAGCGATCTAACCGATCACGGGATTACATGGTAAAGTAGCAAGCTAAACTTTGATCTAAACAAAGCCCGGATTGATCTACGGCAGCTAAGGGAAATAAATAGGTGGGAGGACAAGTTAGGGTCGCCCTCTAACCCTAAGATGCATCCCTAATGGACCCAACTTGATACACACCCAAATAAGGTGACGCAACACCATGGATAGAAAAAGGTCTCTATGGTAAAACGATGATTGTGGCCTCTCCAGAACAGATATGGACATTGTAGATTATGTGATCTACTAAACATAATTTGCTAAACCGATACATGATCACCCTAATGCGGAATTTTAGGATTACACTGACCGTTATTTGAAGCCATGGATGCGATTCTCCCTTTGTTGTCAACCGGAGTGGAAGTAGGGGATCGAGAACCTCGAACCACCTCCTCGCTTGTCGGTGTAGGTGAAGTAGATTGTCACACCCTGAAGTTCTTCTCCCAAGCCTAAATTTAATTTATAAATGGTCTTGAGAAATTACCGGTGTAAAAGCAAGAGTGAAACCCTAATCAAATTAATGCAAATAATAATCGGAAATGGCATGTGGAATTTTTCTTGAGTTCTACATTTCGAAATATGCTAACAAGATTTTTAGTGGAATTTTCAGAGCTCTAGAAATAATTTTAACCAATTAAAAATGAGCATAAGTGACGGAGCGTGGGGCTCCTCACCGGGAGACCGCGCAGGCCCCCCTTTGCCGGTTCGGCCGGGGGCGCTAAGTGAGGTTCTTCGCCCTCGATCTGAGGAACGTCAGCGAGAGAGGAAGTGCACAAGACACGGGCGACGTAGACAGGTTCGGGCCGCTGAGAAGCGTAACACCCTACTCCTATGTTCTGGTGGATCTGTGTGTGAAGGAATCCAGCGAGCCGGAGAGCGAGAGAGAGTTCAGGCTCTAGAACCCCTTTTTCTTCTCTTCTCTTCTCCCCTTCTAGGCCTGGGCCTCCTTTTTATCTGGTCAGGGGTCACCACATGGGCCTCTAGCTGCCTAAGAAAGGAAACATGCTTTTTACAATGAGGGCTAGTCTACAGCCGGAAGTGACCTCTGACAAGCAGAGCACACGCCTCCTGCCCCCCTCGCCAGCTTTCCCGGTGGACGCCCATTTCAACCTTCATTCAATGGCCAGCGACTTCCTTGCCATGCTTGCGCTGAAGCCTGGACTGGATCTGACCGGGACTGACATACCAACTCCAGGAGTTAGCACGCCGGCTCCGGCTAGGGACGAGAGCCAGGAAGCTCTCATCATTCCGACGGGACGGGGCGAGGCGTGTGACAGGCCGCCTGTTGCCACCTAACCCGCGATCTGACCGGTCTGTGACCGGTCACACGCCGCGACCGGTCACGGACCGGATAAGCGTGCGCTGCGCCGCATTAAATGCGGCGTGGCGCGCTCGTCCAACCCGCTATAAATGCGGTTAGGTGAGCCCCGCTGTGCTCACCTAACCCACACACGTGGCGCCAAAACCACAGGGGGTCAGGGCGCCCCAGCCCTCGGGGCCGAAACGGGGGCGGCCCGACCTCTCGGGGAGACAGAGGGAGGGGTGGCCACGTCACCCTCGGGCCCGACCCCCCCGAGGGGGTCAGGCCACGTGGGTGACCGCGGCTACCCAAGCCTCTAGTCACGATACCCCCGACCCCATGTCACCGACAGTAGCCCCCGGCGTTACGCCAAGGCGATCACCTCCCTCGAGGGAAGCGCTCGGGCGTGACGCCACTCCTTAGGCCCGGTGACAGGTGGGGCCGGTCCCTACAGGCGGGCAGAAACCCAGCGGTCGCAAATCGCGCGCATCGGCAAGGGAAAACCGACCGACAATAATGAGCGGCCTCTTTAAGACCGCTACATTACTCGAGCAGCGCGCGATTCGGGACGAGCCGGTTCGTTTCGCCTGGAGACATGATGATGGCGCTTTTCGCGGTTGGCGAGCGTAGTTAATGCGCGCACGATCTGCCCCATCTCAACCGCCACGGCCACACATCTGCCGCGTGCGCCGCAAACGGGTGAGTGGGGTTAGTGGAGGCGTGGGCGCGAGAAACGAGGGGGCGAGGTAGTGGGCGCGGGAAGCGAGGAGCCGGGCATAGCGTTGGCAAGGGTGTAAAGACGCTGAGGAAGGGATTCGTTTCCTTCCTCTCGCCACTCTTCCCCTTGCCTTCGCCACTCGCGCTCCAACTCTTCGTTTCCCGTGCCCTACCCTTGCCGCACTCGCTCGCTCTCAAGCTCCTCCTCCGCCGGCG